ATTGGCTTTATATCCAGTAAATCCACCGATACCTTGATGGCTTCAACTTCTGCTTGAAAATTGTTGCAGTAGCCAGGAAGCCTGAAACTGGTGTTGATAAAGATCTCCTGGCAGTAAACCCCTCAACTTACCTTCCCCTAAGCTTAGACCCATCCGTAAAGAACTTCACTGCCCATTTCCTCCCACTTGTTTTTTATTTATTTTTCTTAATAGCGTCGAGCACTTTTCAAGTTTTGGTTGCCTTCTCTCTTTTCTAAAATTTTCAAGTATTTTTATTCAACGTCATATTAGATTATGATCGAGGTTGGAGTTATTACTACTTCCACTCAATCTTAAGCAAATGTTTTTGTGAGAAAAAATTCAAATTGCCGAATTTTGATATAATATAGATCGTTATGAACAAATGTCCTTAATGTAGCATCATCGAGAGCATGGTATTGTTTTTTTGTAAGCCAAAGCTTTTATCTTATTTATAGGTAACGTAAGTACCAAAACAGGTTGGTGGATCAGTTGAGTGTAGCCTAATATGCATTTTTTTTTTGTCAATTCTTAAATAATTAAAGAAATTTATAAGTGGCAACAAATAAAAAAAAAGATATTTTTAACCCACTGTCTGAGATGCTTCTCTCTCATGCTTTATAGGCATAACACTCATAGCATTAAATTTAATGGACGTGATTTTAAATTGCGCTTTGCATATAATGAATGCCAATCTTAATTTATTCAATTGTGCAGAAAATAGTTATACAAATGTTTAACGTCCGAAATCGCTTAACGTTCGGAACATTTGCAAACCAAATATACGCAGAGCGCTTCCCTTCAAAACAGTCGTGGACGCGGTAGATAGTTGCAAGCGGCATCGCTATGCGCTTTGCCAAGTTGTAATAAATACCTCTATGATATGGTCATTGTGATGTTTGTTTTTGCTGTTGCTGCCGCCGACAGAACCACTGTTTCCACAATTTTCACATTGGCCAACGCCATCTAAAATTAAGGTATACATACATACATATGTACCTATGGGTATGCAGGTATATAATTAGCTTTTTTCATATTTGCAAAACTCCGATTAGTTACTGAGTGCTGGTTTGGTGGCTGTGTGTCCATCGCCGTTTGGCAGCAGTTGGCACAACAATTAGTGCAACACCGAAGTGCAGCAGCTCATAAAAAGTAGTTAATTGCATTTCTATGCAAATCGCAAACATTAAAATAATTACAGTTGTTGACTCGTGTTTCAAGCTGATTTCAAAGAAAACAGCAAAAAATATGCGAAAAAGCGAAAATACAAATACAATTCGATGGCGGAAAAAAGTCGAAAGACAAAAAATAGTCTACCGCGCAGGCGTAAAAAGTTTGAAATGCATTTATTGAGGAGGAAACGAGCGAACAGCGGCCTACGCGGCGCAGTTAAAGCCGCTGCCGCCGTTCTGCCCCGCTCACCGGTCGCTGCGTCGACTCAAAAAGCGTCGTTGGGCGCTCAAATATGCATTCGTTTTGTTGACTCTTGATAACGGTCTGCCATGCATACCAATGCATGTATGTGCGCGTCTGTGTAGGCACTTCAACGCCTTGGCTGCCGTCAAAGATGTTGTTGTCACAAGCGTGTCGAGTGCGCCAGTGGTTACGTGGATCCGGATATAATTTACTTTGCAACAGCTTCAATGTCTTGTAAAAATGCGCGATTAGCAGCTAGTGGCACACAAATTCAGCAACGCATGTTGCCACATATGTACGTACACATGTTTATGGCGGAAAAGCTATAAGAGCAGCCGTCAACAACAACATGTTGGATGAAGTTGTTGTGCTTGTATGTAGTACATAAATCGGCAACAATGCGTTTTACATTTTATCGACTGCTTGTTGGCTGCCGTTCGCTAATTGCCGCTTGTACGCCTAATTTAACAAGCCATAAGAAAATAAATAAATTTAATTGTAAAAATATTTGTGTACGAGAAATGAACTGACATGTAAACATCTTTCTAATTTTCTCGTCACATCCAAGGCCGCCGAGAGAAAACTCGGAAGCAGTGGTAAAAAAATAGAGGTTGCGCTCTTAACAAGAATGTTTCTTATACTTTACAAATTTAATTGAATATATTTCCAGACACTACTTCAATGTTTTTGATGAATAAATCAAATTCGAAAAAAAAACTCAGAAACTAAAAAAATTTATTGGGGAATGTTTATTATCATTAAAAAGAACATTAATTGACATCAATTTTTTGTGGGTTATCTCTTTTGAATGTTGACCGTGGCTATGTCTCTGATGGTCCATCTCTTGATTAAAATTTTTAATGACACGTTCCAGCTGATGTTTTAATTGTTTGGGATTATCCCTATAGTTTCGACTTTACATATCCCCACAGGAAAAAGTCAAAAGATGTTATTGTGATGGTCAGTTGCCTGGTCCAAAACGTGAAACCATCTGCTTACCGAAGTAAGTCGTCTTGTTGAAATCCAATGTCGTCAAGATCACGAGCTTCAATTTCAGTCATCATATACATAAATAGTCGGTTATCAGGGTGTCTATGGACCGATGGTTCCACCGGTTTACAAACCGAACCAAACTGTTGTTTTTTCTTGATCAAATGGCAGCTTTTGAAGATCTTCTGGTTGCTCTTCGCCCCAAATGCGGTAATTTGGCTTGCTTACATACCCATTGACCCAGAAATATTCCTCATCGTTGAACAAAAGTTGTCTTGAAAACGTTGAATCTTCTTGAAACTTTTCAAGAGCCCATAGAGCGAAGCGATGTCGCTTTAGCTGTATTTTTCAATTTAAAATCTATATAAATTGCGCGAGGTCATTCCACACATCAGTCCGAGTTGCTGCGAACGGCGTCGAGTCGAGCATTCACGGCACTCTCAGTTACGGCTGCTGAAATTCCTTCAGTTCGGGCGGGACGTGATCAATTCGGTTGAATAGTATTCAATAATCATTGCTGGGTCTCAAGATGGTTGATGGTGTTGGGAATAGTAAAATCTGTATGCCGACTATGTTCACCATAAGTTGACCGAAGCACGCGAAACATATTCTTTTTGTAAAATGCTACAATCTTCAGTTATTTGGAAGTCAGAAGTGAGCCTTTTTAGGAATGCGGTAATAATAATCTGGAAATCCAATTTTTTTGATAATTCTGCCTCTAAGCACAATGTAGCTAGTTCTGCCTCAAAATATGTGAGAAAAGTGTCATAGAAAAGTTTTCAAGATTTTGAAACATTGAACAACGCATAAAAATTAGATTTTTAAATTCAAAACCAAAATTGAAAAAAAGCAGAATCCATAATATCCTTTACAGCTGAACTTTTTATAGCATAAAAGTATAAAAAACAATTTCTTTCTGATATTGGGCAATCCGATTTGGTAAGCTACAGTGGACCAATGGGAATAATATGTTCGGAAATTGTAGCAATGCCTTGTAAAATATCTCAAAACCTGCAAACGGATTTGAAAAATTAACGCTCTTCAACTAATGAAAACATTGAAAAAAGTGAAGGATTCAGACACTATTGCAATCGTCACGCAAGTGTTATAGAGATGACAAGAGAGCTCGACATTCTCGCTTCACTCAACCATGTAAAGCTGATTTTTTTTTTTAAACAAGACCGTAAGCAAGTCTCTTTGGACATGCTTGGTCGTGCAAATTCCAATCCCACATTCATGGTGAGCATTATAACTGCTGGTGAGACATGGGCTTATAAGTTTGTCATGTAAACAAGTCAACAATCTCACAATGGAAGGAAAAAACCAGACGAAAACTAAAAAAGAAACGCGCCAATGCCGCTCAGAAATCAATTTTATGCTCATTGTGTTTTACGATATTCGTGGTTTGGTGCATCATAAATATTTACTGTAAGGACAGAAGGTGAATAAGGAGTTCCGTAGAACGTATTGAGGCGTTTGCGTGAGAACATCCGTCGAAAAAGTCTGGAATTGTGGGAAAACAATTCCTGGATTTTACACGATGACAAAGCACTGCTTAAAAAAAACAATTTTCATATTTATTCAATTATGGAATATTATTTTCTATAATATCCGAAAATGTATCTGGGATCCAAAGTTTTAATGATGACTTATGATCATGCTTAATGTATAATTGCAACGGAACCCTCCTCATTCCTTTCTGAAGTAGTTGATAATTTTGTTTACAAATAACATACAAAGAGAATTGAAATATTATGTTAGTGTTTCCAGAACTCTTGAATATTAGTTTCAAATTTCATCAAATAGCAGCATATTACCACAAAAGTATCAAATTTTTTTTTTATATTACATCGGCTCCATACTTGTAAAAGCCAACTTACATTTATACTGCTCAGGCAAAACCACTTTCATCTTCATCATTGCTCACTTGTTTATCTAATTGTTATTATTCCTATTTCATCAATCTATTATATCTTTGTCATTGTTCTCTTAATGTTTTGCAAAAAAAAGTTTTTCTTTCGTGTTTGTCATTTGGACTTTCATTTAAATATTTTAACAACTTCACTGCCTAATGAAACGCCAGCTGTTGTACAAATGCTGTTATGCAAATTTTCTTAAAAGTAAATTTCTTCAAATATGCGACAACTGCCTGCCTGCCACACATACATATATACCGACATAGACACTTATAGTCTTATTCAACTCTTTTTCTATTCGAATTTGAATTTCAGTCGATTGCCTACAGCACTTGCTGCTTGAAATGTTGAAATGAACTTGAGTTCACAGCACAGCTCAACTCGGCTCCGGCCGCCTCAGTGTCGGCAGTTTGGTTGACAAAATTCTATAGCAATTAAATGCAAAATTATTCACTTCGCCAGCTGTTTGCCAACTGGAAGCTAACCCATTTCTATATTCTGATAGATAACTGTATGTACAAACGCATGTATTTATTTACTAAGTTGTAGATCTTCAATTCATTAAGTTTATTCACATTTAATAAAGTAAATAAACGATTGATGTTTCTGAAATTGAATTATTTTTGTGGATTTAATTTTTTTTTTTTTGAATTTTTTCAGAGTACGCCTTACACTTTGAAGGATGGCAGTTGTAACGGCAGTGAGGTGACAACTTGGACTTCGACGGGGTTGCCACCTTCAACCGGCTACTATACGTACGATCCAACATTCGGTGCGTATGGGTAAGTGCAAGAGATAACAGAAAACTGTAAATAATAATAAAACACACAAAATATCTAAATTTGAGAAATCAGGTAAGTTCGGTTTCTCGAGTTGAGGTAATGTAAGGTATAGAATGATTCCCGTAACTTCAGTTCAAATTAATAATAAAGGAGAGGAAATAATAATATAAATCCACAGAGACTTCAAATCTAATGAGGAATGTTTATAACCTTTCGAACGAACATTCTTTGGTATTTATTTTTTAGGAATTAACTCTTTCAATTTAGTTCAATTTTCGACGACTCATTCGAGCATTTTGACTGGTAACTGGCGAACGACACCCATAATGGTTGAATGAATCGAAGGGAGATGGTTCGCATAGGTTTTAGACTTTATGTATCCCTATAGGAAAAAAACGAATGGTGTGATATCACACGATCTCGATGACCAATCGACCGTAGCAAAGCTTGAAATTATCTTCGCACCAAAGTGTTCTCTCAATAAATTATTTGATTGATGCGATGTGTGAGAGGTGGCGCCATCTTGTTGAAACCAAAATTTGTGAGCTTCAATTTCAGTTATCATTTTTGAAAAAAATATGGACCCATAATTCCACCGGAACGAGATCTTCTTGGAACTTTATTAGAGCCCAGAGAGCGAAGTAATGTCGCTTGGTCGAGCGGTTTCAGTTCGTGCTCAAACTGTTTTTTATATGCTTTCAATTTAAGATCTCGACGTTAAAGTCAAAGTCCAAGTCGTTCCATACGTCAGTCCGAGTTGCTGCGAACGGCGCCGAATTGACTCTCCGCCGTCTCGTGTACACTCTCAACTACGGCTGCTATATTTTCTTTACGGCATGCTGAAGGTGGTCTATTTGGTCGAATATTATCCAGTAATGATTTCTGGGTCTCCAAATGGCCGATAATGTTGGTATTCTCTTTGAAGTGGGCGTGGTTGTGTGCCGATTTTGTCAATTTCAGAGCAGTGGGAAATGGACTCCCTAGAGCGCTTACATTAAGTTTTTCGGAAGATGTTTTCGTCTTTCTAGATAAGCCCCCCAGGTCATTCTCCGTTTTTTAGAAGGTCCAACCTACTTTCTCGCACCTAGTTGGTGGGTTATCTAGTTCGTTTTCTATATTTGTTGGATCCCCACTAAAAGCCTTTATCCACTTTAGATAAAGGGAGTCTCATTTCATGGTCCCAATGTTGTCTTAATTACGAGACCTAGTAGAGAATTGACTCAAGCCAATTAAGGCAGTGCCTACAATGTAGACAGTCGTGAAGAAGGAGACGAATCAACCTTTGCAGTCCTCTGAATCCCATAACAGCCGTAAATTCTACACTGGCTTTTACGCTGCGTTTATTGTAAAACGAAATTTAATAGATCTGAGCGATATACATACTTACGATCAAATTTGACTCGGACTGTCACGAGCGGACATACAAATGATGGTATAAATACTAATCTAGGCATTTCTACCGATTCGATTCGATTTGCGTATGCAGTATATGGACCAGTTCGCATCATATTTGATCTTGGGTCTATGCTGTTATAGTATCATAACTAAACCTTTGGTAGCAATTAAATACATACAATTTCATTATTTGCCTAGAGTGAGACCAGAGGGTTCCTCTTCTCTGGCAGAATTAAAATTCAACATATTTTTTACCTTCCCGCTCCTTCGACACAAATTCAGCGCAAATTAACAGCAAATAAATCTTCGACAAATTCCGCAAATAACCGTGACTACCTGAAATCTGCGTTAAGCCCTTATTTCGTTGATTTCTAAATATAATTGAAGTACAACAATCTTGGCGAAGTTTTTGCAAAGTATGCTTACTTCTTCCCTTCATTCATATTGAACGAGGAACAGAATGTTAAATTAATTTCTAATCCCCACAATATATAGTGTGAATCGAACTTTGAACCGCACACAAACGCGCATACCAATGCAAACCCCCACACCACCAGCAGTCGATACAAGTCCGTCGCTCATAAAAGCCAACAAGTACAAGCATTATAATGTTTTTTACAGCTTGCTTGTCTACACATCAATACATAATACATACACATTGTACGCTGTATGTGTGTGTATGGTGTATGCGCAGTAAGTTCCTAAATTGCTGGCGAAATTCCGAACTTGTGAACTCGCTGCAATAAAAAGCGAAAATCGAGACGTGAGATAATTCCATCTGGGCCAAGCGCGCCAACTCATCCCACAGCGCTTAGAAGCTGCCAAGTTTCCAGCAGCCGTGCCACACCGCTTCCGGTTACTTTAAAAACGCCTGCTGTGCTGCGCTATGCTCTGTGCTGCGGCAGCTGCAAGCTGAATAGTTTCCCCACACGATGAGCCGAGCGTCGTGGCGTATGATGAACTTATAGTGGCACACTCACACACACACACCCGCTCGCCTGCCTTGGTTGGCTGCTTGCATGACTTTCGGGTTTCGTTGTTTATTTGTTGCGTTGTAATTTTGGCAGGCGGGCGCACTTAAAAATGCGTACGGCAACTGGCGCTGCCTCTTACGCCGCGCTGCCCTTCGATGCTTTTGACCGAAAAGTCAGCACACAGGCGGCGTCTAAAGCGAAGCACCAGAGCGACAGCAATTGAAACTTTGCCAGACGCAGCCGGCGAGCAAGCGGTTGGCAGCCAACAAAAGCCAAGAAAGCAAAAGTGGCCAGCTTTTGCGAAGTTTGCCGAGCAGCGACAGCAGACACGAAAACGCGTTTGGTTTTGCAAAGTCAATGTGCGAGTCACAAGTGGCGCGGCCCATTGTGTGCTGCTCTGAGACAATGAAATGTATGAGTGGTGAGCGCACGCACAGCCGGCTGAACTGAAAAGTTTAAAGTTTTTTCGCTGCGTCGCCGGAGGGTATTGTGCCTTAAATTGCCATTTTTTATTTTGTTGAATTCGTTTTAGATTGTACTAAAAAGCTTATTTTACAAGTTAGTTGTGGAAATTGTGACTTTTGTCTTAAATACAGTATGTAATTTATATTTTAAAGTTATTGCTTCTCAAATAAGGGACATTTTATAATATAATACAAGAGTTGAGAAACTAACATTAATTAAATACTTAACTTCAAAGAAATGTCACTTCCTTATACGAAGGTATTTATAGTTGGTTGAAGAGATTTGATTTGAAAAAATGTTTAAGAGTGGCGAAAACTATTTGTGTATATCAAATAATAATGCCTAGACGATTAATTTTCGTACTTTGCACAACTAGTGTTGACTCCGCTCCTATTTCTTATGAAATTAAGCAACGATTTAGCACGAATACAAGCTAAGTCAAATCAATGTAATTTATTTAGAATATAATTTTATTGCAAAGTGAAAGTCTGAAATATTTTTATTTTGGGAGTTTTCCCATCTAATAAGTGAACGCTCAGAACTGTATTTTTTTGGCCAGTATAATTTATCATTTATCAACATATGTATTATTTGAAGCAAATACTCCAGTTTTAGAAATATTGGCAGTACCTCTAATAAAAATACGACTCTATAAAAAACTGAGTTGAATTGTAAGGCTTATTTAGTTTCGTATTGCTTCCGAGTTTAATTTCACAATTAACCCTTAATTGTAATCAAATTTACAAAAACAAGGCTATGAATTAACAACACTGGTTAACAAGTTTTTAATTTTTTTCGTTTCATATGAAAATTGATATACAATTTTTAATGTACCTGTGCCACTAAAAAAAGTATGTGAATGGAAAAATATTGGCACGTCATTTTGTCTGGTGACAACAAACCAAACATTTTCTTGAAAAGTAAGAACATCCATATAGATAAATTAATAAATAATTTTGAAAAGATACTTATATTTTTCATGTATATTTGGTTTCAGGAAGGTTTTTCTTCTTCTTTATTGGCATAGACACCGCTTATGCGGTTATAGCCGATTTTACAATAGCGCGGCAGTTCAAGTACAGCCAGCTCCTTCTCCACCTGTTTTTTACCAGCTTTCCATTTAAATCGTAATGCTTAATGATCAAAATGGCTCTCATCCGAGGCTGTTTTCATCCTTTCATTGGGGGCGTTTTTTCGTGGCGGGTTGCAAACCCAGCGTATAACCCTGGGTAAGGATGTTTCCCCTTCTCACTTTAGCTCACCTTCAAACGAAAATTAATTAATTAATTAATAATAATCTTCTAGCATTCTTGCGGTCCAATCCTATTTGTAGCGCTTCTCCATTAATTAGATATCCTATGTAATCACTCAAATTTGCCGGAAAGAAATTCAGATGAGAGTCTATGTACTCACTTTTCCGGTTTGTAGTTTTCTAGACAATTTTGTAAAACGTTTCCAAATCATTTCCATTTAAATCAATTTGTGTCAATAAGTGTGGTTTTTTTGAAATTGATGCTTCATCACTTGAGTTACTATTTTCAGCCGCTGCATTGTGCTGGCTCAGATCAAGTTCTAGAGTAAAAGCCGGATTTTCTGATCGACTTAGAGGCTTTGACATATGCAGTGCGAATGTGGATAGTGTGTTTGAACTTGGTTATAATAAAATACTTTTAGCCTATCTAATTTCACGAAATTTTTCCAACTCAGGGACATACGTACTTATACTTTTTTGTAGTTTATTGATTTTACATAAATTAAGTTGTATACAATGTAGCAAAGAATAAGAAAGAAGTCATCGATTCGGAGAAGTTGATGTGCAGATGCAGAATTTCTGCCGTTACAACAGCAACAACATGTGCAGATGAGAAATTATGACAGTGTTTATACAGTGATATGTTCGGATTATTCTATTGGGTATATAACTATATAGATGAGCTTTTTTTCAAAATTTAAACTGCTGTAATATGTACCGAACTTGCAGTATTGCCGTTCTGTATTGACCGAAGGAAATGGTAGTGAGAAGAGGCAAAATCTGCGATATATGGCTTGTAAGTCAAGTCTTCGCAGCGGCTATTTTCTTCTTCTAACAGCGGACCTAGAGTTGTCATGTTGAAAAACTTATACCTCGTGTTGAGTAGCAAATTCCAGGAGTGTTTTGGTAATTCC